AAAACATTTCAAAATACAACTGCATTGTTTTACTTTTTGTGATTAAAAGACAAATATTTTGTCATTTGAAAATTTATTGAAGTATTAAAACATTGTCTCATTCTAGTGAACCAAGTATCTGCATTTTGTCTCATTTCATGAGTTAAGTGTATTGTCACACCCCTAGTGTCTATGAGCGTGATAAAGCTCATAATTTTCAAAGTGTATGATATAGCTTTCATTCTTTAGGTCAATCATGTATTCATAAAAAAAAAATCAGTTTGAATAAGGAAAGCGATAACTTTGCCATAGTATCCTTTCAAATGTTAAATTTGCCAGTCATTGCATTCTTTGCATGTGCTGCACTTTATTTGTACCATTTTGTTTTATTAGTTTATTTATTATAATTTGAAAGATAATAACAACAATATTGATTGATAAGTGAGATCTGATTTTAGTCCTTGAAAACCAAAAAAGTAGTGCAAGTCCTTGAAAGTCCTGGAATTTTATTTTGCAGTATCTGTACGAACCCTGTTTAAAGGTCCCCTTATTGTCAAAACTGTATTTTTTGTATAAAAAAATGTCCTGGCTTTTTTCACGATAACTGAGGTTTAGGTGCTATGTAACTATACCATATAAGTTTCAAAACAGTCAGTCCACAGTAAAATGCACACAGCCTGCATAAAGTAGCTGTGATTTTTCACGAACCGTTGTGACGTCCGTAAAAAGTTGACGTCAGAACTACACAGTCGCCGCCTTCAGTCACCACCCCGAGCACCGCCCACAGTCCCTCTTTCCTTTTGCCAAACCCCCAGACAAAATCGCGTCCATGCCATTGCTGAGCAACAACAACACAGAAACATGTCGAAAAGTTTAACTTTAACCACGAAACCAGATCGGCCGACCTGTAACATTACACTCTCACTCAAAGGATGGACGATCTGACAGGATTGTTACTATGAGGTGATCACATCTAACGTGTGTAGTAAAGACAAACTCACCGTGTCTATCTTGTCATGATGAAGATGTGTATACATTTCAATTTCAGCAAGCAACTATTTTTACAGCTACAGTATTGTTCCAGCCACAATTAATCACAACAATGTATATACAATTACAAATGATTATATATGAATCATCAGTTTGTTGGTTTACACTCATGCACACAGACATTATTTCATACACGACATAGTAGTGAGATGCAAGAAACATAGACATATGGCAAGAAATCTGTAGACACGCCCATAACAACAAAAGACAATACTTTATTGAACCTTTTCTGATAAGAAGTGTGCGCAGCAAACGAGCATTTTTGACGATTGTTTCTGTCCAGTCCACTCGTTTTATCGTGTTTAACCACAGCTGTCATCGTTTTTTTTGTCTGGCAGTGGCAGCTAGGGATGGGCGATATTTTATCGTTTGCGATATACCGGTAAAAATTCTCCCCACGATAAGAATTAGTCTTCCTGCGATAATAACGATAAAGTCTAGTTGTTGGCATATTTCTGTGTGCGACAGTGCGGACCGAAATCACGGAAAGCGGACGTGAAATTGAGGAGGAGTAGACTATATCGCTAAATGAGGAGCTCAGGCTGTAACTGGTTTGGTTAGGGCTGTACAGTGCACAAAAAATCGGTCTCGTCAGTAGTATTTCTTCTGCTATGGATATGTGGAGTTTCTGTGCAAGGGTGCCCTCGGGCTTCCAGTATGAATTAAACCGTCTTTACATTACGTGTGAACTCATAAACCTCTTAAGACCCCGCAAAACATTTTAGGATTTTTTTTTTAATGTCATTACATTGTTTAGAGCATTCAAAAAAAATATATAATAATAATATTTCATTCATAAGTTATGCTACGTCCTTGGTAGAGGACATCGGGACTCAATTTCTTAAAAAAATTTAATAAAAAGACATGAACATGCATAGGCAAAACATTTATTTATTTATTTATTTTATTAAATCAATACATTTTTAGTTTTTAGGATTTTTTTTAACCAAACTTTGTATAAAGATAATTCTCAACTATGTTATAACAGATTGATTTGATATACCATATTTCTTTCTGCAAAATGTGTGTAAAATGGCCACAAACATGTTTTCTCATGATATGTAATGTATCTATAAACTATATCTAATTTGCATATTAATGTGTTTTTGGGGCAACATGTAATGAAAAAGAGAAGTGTAATATTGAGAGTAATAATTGACAAGATTTTCATAATAATATATAATATTTCATAGGAACATTGAAATATATTTTCTTTCCCTATTCATTTGTTGTGTCTCCCAAAATGCGTTATAAACATGCTTTTAGTCCCGGTGTCCTCATATGATCACTTGTGTCCTGTTTCATAACAGTTATATTTTGATTTGAAACCCCATAACATTTTCCTGAGATGTTGATTTATGACACACAGTTTAAAAATGTGTCTGATTTAAATGACAAATACAAAATATTATGATATTTCCATAAGAGTGTCACTAAATTAATATCAGACATATTTGAAGACCAAGGAGAGGGGGTGGTCATGGTGAAACATCCAAACATTTAGTATCTCTGAAAAGCCCTGAATGTGCTCTGTACAGGACATCCAGACTGTGGCATGTATAGTCTCAGAGAAATTCACTACAATATAATGTCCTCATATGAGGATGCAGGGTCTCAGGAGGTTAATGCTCACCCTATGTTGAGTAAAAATAGGAAAGATAATACTTTTCTTAAAAGAAACAGGTTTCCCTGAATTATCGTCTTTGATATCGTTATCGTAATAAATACCAGAAATATCGTGATATATTTTTAAGCCCATATCGCCCATCCCTAGTGGCAGCAGATATGCTGTATTACGTCGATTCTGGCACACAACATCACAACAAGATGATATTTTAAGCTCCTCATGTAGCCGAATCTGCACTGGTTTGAATGGGCCGCCTCCAGTTTCCCCTTTGTTTTGCTGCCTCCAGCTAGCGCTGTGACGTCAGCTGACCCTAGTTACCTGTGGTTGGCCTGGCCATGCGTCACTCAGAACACAACAGGCCAATCAGGCCAATCTTAAGGACATCAAAACCAAAAATAAAACTCCAGAAAGGTGTAAAATAGATAGGTGTTAAAGGTGTGACCTTTAAGTTACCAGCTCTTGGACCATTTGAATGTTTTTTTTAAAAATTGAACTGAACAGTAGTTTTCTGAAGTAAACTGTCTTTGTATATTTCCTATTTTATATTCATTTCCTAGTATTTAATTTACCATTATTTATTTTGAACAAATTTTTTTTAGAAATTTCATGTTTTAGATTGTAGGTCATAGCTAACCAGCGAAACTTGATATCAAAAGCATCCTAAATGTTACATGTGTTTGCACCATATTGTAGTGAGTAACCTTTCTTGTTATTGCTGTTTCAAATATCCCACCATAATCTGTAGTCTGAGCCTGTCAAGGGCTAATGGCAATGGCAGATACGTTACTAGTTAGTTTCAAGGAAAATCATTTTCTTTTTTTGTTTGCCAAATAACCCTGTGTATGTGTCCACCCCCGCAACCCCCAATCCCCGGAAAAAAGTTCAGGCTCAGGATTTTTTTTTTTGCTTTAACCCCTGGGAATTCACTGTTGTAAATATATCACTGTCGTAATTTCAGTCAATAACTTTACCAGAGATGGTCTTATTATTGGAGATACCAGGGTCCGTGAATCTACCATTAGAGAAATCATAACGGTCAACTTGGATCACGTGTGCCTTGATAATCCATCAGATCCCGGTCTTAATGTCACTGAATTTCTGTTAGAGTTGTGCGACAGCCAATCACTGTTTGTGGATAGCATTGAAATGAATGAGAAGAGCCATAAACTGAATCCTACCTGTTGCAAATTGTATGTGACTTATCTTATAAAATAGCATTTTGTTCAGTGTAAACAATCAAATCCAAATCAATCCAATATGACTGCTTGATGGCAAATGTGTTAAAGATTCATTAAATAATAAGCTGTTTTTCCCCCCCACAAAAGCTGTTTATTCAGCATATTGAAGCTCCTCCACTGAAATCCATAAAAAAAAAGAAAGAAAGAAAAACAGCCTCTGGTCTCCTTTCCTGTGTAATGCAGCATTACGCTTTTTAAATTTTTTTGCTAAACTTGGAGGCTTGTCGTCAAGCAGCTTTGGCTCTACAATTGCATTTGCTGCTGCTGTAAAATAATCTGCTATTTTTGCGCCATTTTCAATAAAGTTATATACTCCCAGATTCAGAACAGATATTTTGGTGGGAGCGTGGAAAGAAACAGTAGCCACTTGCTTTATTAGAAATCAGTGTACCATCAGAACGATGTTGAAATTGATATTTCGAGGTAAAAAGAAAAAAATGACATACAGTAGCTTTAAGTAGTACACACAAGTTGCAACTTTGTGCTATATATTCTGTCTTTATTCATTGAAATATTCCACCAGAGTTCCAAAATTCCGATTCAAAAATGACATCATTCCAAGTTTGATGTCATGGTCGCTAAAATGCATTTAGAACATTGCAATCATGATGTGACAGTTTAAATATGTTGGAAGGAGAATGGTAGTTGTAATTATGACATTTAAGTAATTACATTCCTCGTGCAAAGCCATCAAAATAAAATTACTTTCATTGACAAGATAACAGCATGCAGGTTTGTAACAACATGAGAGTGTGTAAATACTGAACTATCCCTGTAACTATTTGTCTCAGAAGAAGCGGAGTGTGATAGATGTACTGTGTATCACAGTCAGATCTTGAGGGCAGTAGGCATGTGCCAGCTAGATTTCACCTTCCATGGTACCACCCACTGTGTGCCATATGTCCATTCTACCGAATAGCAATCCATGTGCATGAAGGTTTTATACTGGAGTCTGTGTTGATATTGGTTCTTTTTTGGGTAGGCGAGTCCCTGCCAAGATGCAATTTCTGTCCACCAAAGCTGTCTGATAAAAGTTTATTTCATGCCTTTCTCAAATGTGCGACTGTGATTTCCCTTGCTGTTTTTCATGATTGTTTGTTCTGTAGATCGGAGGACTGGAGCACCATTACCATTTCCATCACAGCAGGGTGGTCCGCAGATCCACCTTTGCCACCAGAGGCACTCACAGCTTCATTCACATGGACCCGAAGGTAAGCCTTCCCTCCTGTGGCCACATTACCATCACCAAACAAACAAGTTAAAGCAACAGTGCACCCAAAAATGAAAATTAGCTGAAAATGTACTCACCCTCAGGCCATCCAAGATGTACATGAGTTTGTTTCTTCATTGGAACAGATTTGGAGAAATGTAGCATTGCATCACTTGCTCACCAATGGATCCTCTGCAGTGAATGGGTGCCGTCAGAATGAGAGTCCAAACAGCTGATAAAAACATCACAATAATCCAAAAGCAATCCACACCACTCCAGTCCATCAATTAACATCTTGTGAAGGGAAAAGCTGTGTGTTTGTAAGAAACAAATCCATCATTCAGTCTACCAGTTGAAAAAGTTATCTCATCTGAATCAGGAGTGAAATATGCACAGATCAAGCACCGTTTACAAGTAAAAAAAATAGTCCAAAACAGTTCTAAACAAATATGATTTTGATGTGAGAGGACAACAGGAGAAGGACCTTTTCACTGGTGAAAGCATTATTATGAATTGTGGACTAATATTTTGATGATGAATTTGAATTTTTACACACATGCAGCTAATCTCTATTGTGATGTTTTTGTCAGCTGTTTGGACTCTCATTCTAACGGCACCCATTCACTGCAGAGCATCCACTAGTGAGCAAGTGATGGAATGTTACATTTCTCATAATCTGTTCCCATGAAGAAACAAACTCATCTACATCAAATAAATGCAGCTTTGGTGAGCATAAGAGACTTCTTTTAATAACATTTTCTTTTAAGAACACAAAAATCTTACTGACCCAAACTTTTTAATAATACCGTACGGTATTAAACTAAAACCAAACTTAAAATTGTAGTTTGCAGCTGCTGTCTTCATGAAAAGTCTCATTTAGTTGATCTAAATGGCCTCAAACAAAACTATTGAATATATTTCAAAAATTGTATGCATAAACTTGGCACTGTGCAGGCCATCTGACACACGATCTGAGTCTGCTGCTGAATCATAAACACCCGCTGATGCCGCAGGGATGGTAGTTAAAATTTACAGCTGAATGTGGCAGCAGTGGTGCATTCATAGCATGTTTCATTGTCCGCATGTCCTGCAGTATGCTGTGTTGTAGTGAATCTGAAAAAAATGAAACTTTAACTTTGACTTTAGTGGTATTATTTTCAGTATGGTGCAATTTCTGATGCGTCATCACGGACAGAAGGCACAATGTGTCATAAGGAATGAAACAGACTAAAACTAAAGATGTGGATGAGTATTCAAGTAGTCATGTAAACATTTCACAAATTCAGTTCACCTATTATCTAAGAGGCCTCATTTGTAATTTTGGGGTTGAGTTATGGCATAATTTTTTATGTTACGTATAATTTTTAATGGTATCTTGCAGTCTGATTTTTTTCAACGCTGTACAGGGTGACTTTGCATAATTAAGCAATAGCACAGATGGACCCCCCTCCCACCACCATGTACAATGACCGAAATTCACCACCGTAAAACTATATCTGAATCTTTATGAAAAGTAATTACAAAAAAAAACAACTTTATATGTATATAACTTTTTCAGACCCACCAGAATTTTGCAAGCCCAAAATTATTTAAATTGGCTGCAACTTTTGAAAAAATGTAGATATTTGCTGGATTTTTTTGTGTGGATTTGCATAAGGCAATGGTGACACCAGTATAGAAATATTCATAATTCTGTTTCACTGAAAATACAGAATTGTTTTAGACACACAGATGCTTGCATACTGTCACTGATTACATTTGTATTTTAAAGATTTTATAATATTCTTCCATGCTTTGACAACATACCAGTTATATTATTTTCTATTGTTGTAATATTGTTTTTTTTGGATTTTGTAATTTTTTATTAATACTGTCTTCAACTGCATTCATTCAAAATATAAAAAATGTGCAGCTGAACACCTATTAATCAGACCCCCCCCCCCCCCCCCCGCCACCCCCCCTAAACCTAA